GAAGTGTTGGACCGAAAGTCATTCACATGAAGCTTCACCTTCTCTTCAGGAGGTGAGTCCCGAGCTAGAGACAATAGCACTTACGACTACTAATGCATACAGTATGAGAGGTGTCAACCCACTCGTTCACAACCTTAACAATGATACTTTAGGGAAGATGCGGCACACCAAAGTTATCTCCAAAAATTTGTTTATTCTTTCATTTACATATGTACCAGCACGTGAAAATATACTATTCCACCCAATTTTTTCAGACTATATTGTCCAAGCTTCGACATCAAGGTAAAAGACAAACGTACCTGCCAGGGCATTCCCATCAACTCCCCAAATACTCCTTGCTCTTGGACAATCCCAAAGTAAATGAAGATTGGTTTCTAAAAGCCATAGCATAAAGTACAAGAGGAATCAATCAACAGTCAAGTTTCTCTTGGCCCTTTGCTCGTTTGTTAAAAGCCTATCATTTGTAATTATTAACCAAAGAAAGATCTTAATTTTTGGAGGGTACTTTAGTTTCCATATAAAATACCATGGAGGATCAACCATTCATCTCCGTAGAAAAAGAGCTCATAAGTTGTTTTGACACTGAATTGACCATACGAAGTGTGTTCCCATATTTGCTTATCCATGCCAACGCCCAAAACATTACCATGGTGACTAGCTATTCTTTGAATCAACTCTTTTGGAAGATCACATTGATGCAAAACATACTTTGTGCTTGAAAATGATAGATTCTTGTGACCTAAAAAGAGATTCTAGAACTTATAAATGTGCAAATAAGGGAAGATGCAACTGGACAAAAAGATAAATGAAATATTCCAACTTGAACATTCGTCCAGCCTTGAAAAAAAAATATTGTCTTGCTAAAACAATAATGAAAGCATCACATATTAATACAGTTCATCCTACTTATAGAATTGCATACAATTCATCCTATTTATAGCAAACACCCAAATGGTCACATGCCATCCATATACATCTTAATGAAATATGACTTGTGTGAGTGATCCAAAATACACCAAATACGCAACATTTTAGTATCTTTTACTAACTTTATTGCAACTCGTAGCATCTGATTGTATGGGAGACTCATGGCCTGAAGCTCATAAGTTAACCTCGCTTTTGCTTCCCCTGAAGTAAAACTTTCATCCAACCTCTTCATTTCAGTAATTGCTCTATCCCAACCTGCATCCATAATAGCTGCAAGATCTACATCTCTATGATTCCTCTCCCTTTTCCTTTGTCGTTGTCTATACAACAACAATTTTGCATTCATAGTATACACTTGTGCCAGTATAATCCACATGTTCATAAGAACAAAGAAATGAGTCTCAAGTTCATCCATGCCTTAATATGGAACAAGACAAACATGTATGAGTGCTTGAATGAAGGAGGAAAGGAAAGATGTATATGATGGAAACAAAACAGAAAATATGATTTTATTGATAGCAACATTATAAATTACAAACTAATAATAGTAATGAGGACAATGCAAATAATAACGAAAAATAGAAATTAATAAGAATTTGCTAACAGATGGATGATAGAGGCTTGAAAACTTGCAATATCCTTACACTTGTTAAGTAGTTCTTATATGCTTCTATCACTAGAATTCAACTATTAAAATCAAAGTTCTTGCACTAGGGCTTTGATCCTATTGAACTTACCAAGTGTTTCTCTCCAAAAAGTACTAACGTTCTATAAAAAACAGGAACTTTAATGAAAAGCTCCCGGTACTGTTCACTTTAACGAAAAACCACATTTTTACACTAAAAAGTCAATCTTGGTACTATTCACCTTACCCTTTATTTTGTCCATATCATTAAAACTCAAAGTTTTCAAACCCTTTTCATTAGTTTTTTTTTTTTTTATCTACTGTCTTTTGCAGTTATGTCGTTTGATTTGACAACTAATCTTTTTAGTTAATAATATTTCATTTGAATTCAAGCTCATAGTCATCTGAAAACCAAAAACACATATGTAAGGATTTGGATCAATTCTGAGACCTCAAGGCCCAAGGCCTTGTCTTCGTCAATCTAATTATGGGCTGCATCATGTTTACTCCATACCAAGCGCATTTAACACTTAATCCAATTTAGACTTAATTGAATTAATAGTCTCGTGGTGATACGATAGTACTTAATTGAATTAATAGTCTCGTGGTGATATGATAGTCGAAAAATTGCTCCAGTGGTAAAAATAATAATAATTAAGATTTAAGCCCTTGTGCTGAAGTTTGTTCAAATTTAGGCCCAAAATAAAAAATTTTGCCAAATCTTTCTTAATTGTTAGCACATGAGGTTCACATGTGAGGCTAAAAATATAAAGTTAGCCTTACATGTAAACTTCACGTGCTAAGACCAACTCCAACCCTTGAAGTAAGTCTCAAATTTTCCCTTCTATCCCCCCTCCCACCAATTTCATTCCAACCTTTGTTCTAAAATGGGGTTAAGTGTTAGAACTAAAAAAAAGCCAAATTCCGGCCAAGATTTAGGCCAAAGTTAGTGGACTGGCCCACTTGTAAGAGTGGGAAACCAGCAATTGGATATCACTTCCCCACTGATGTGACATACTCTCCCAACTCTCCAGCGCCTACAAGGTGGCAACCCACCCACGTAGGTTGTGTCGGCCACTTGTTGGCAATAAAGTTGAGCCCAACGGCTCCTTTTGTGATCAACGACTCACATTCAAATGGCCGTTGGTCATCCAATGATACACATTTAATTTAGTTAATGTTGTTGTTTTATATTTATTCTTTAATAATATGGGGCTAAAAATTTAGGTTTTAAGGGTTGGAGTAGAAAAGTTGTTTCTAGGTTAAAACCTAAATTTTTTGGGTAAAAAATTTTAGGTTTTACCCAAGGGTTGGAGATGGTCTAACAATTAAGGGAGAGTTTTGTTTTAGCCTCATATGTGGGTTCACGTGCTAATAATTAATGGAGAGTTAATGAAATTTTTAATTTTGAGCATAAATCCTAACAGACTTCACCACAGGGTTTAAATCCTAATTTTTTTTTCACCACAGGGGCTATCTTCCGACTATGTTATTCTTACAAGAACTAATAATCCAATTAGACCTCCAATTGATTAAGTCTAATAGTGTAAAACTTATAAAATGAATCTCCAACAAACCAATCCACCCATGTGGATGTTTTTCTCCATTCAAAACTAGTATATGAGTATGGATATTTCAATCAAGCGCATAAGGTGGATACGGGATGAGCCCCAAAATTAGCCCTTCCAGACAATTAAATTAGAAATTGGCCATTCAGATTGAATCACAATCAAGCAACAAAAGATCAAAACTTAAAACAAAATTTTAACAATTCCACTAACTTTTTAGGTATTTCCCCAAGTTTGAAATCTCTAAGGCGTTTCAAACACTGCTTTGTGCGGCATAAGAAACCCAAAAACTTAATAAGAAATTCAAATCCAACAAAAAGAACCCAAATTCCAACATAAAAACTTGTTTATCCCACTTAATCACTGCCCTGAACAGAAAAACAGAAAAAGAAAAGATTTTCGCCCTACCATGTTCTGTCCCATTCCAACCTGCTTACCCAACGTGCCTGTAATATGTCTAATGCACTAGATACTTATTACAGTACATCATCCATCTAATAGATACTTATTACAGTGTTACCAATTATAAGAGAAATTCTCTCGCATGCATAATCTTTTAGTTAATTTGGACTGGTGCAATTGCAATATGGCACTACGATTACTATAATTATGCAGAATGTCTCTTGTCGGGTTTTCTTGTGCAAGAATGAATCCATCTATATCAAGATTTGCCTCAATTATTAGAGATTTGGAATATACAATACGACAAATAAGCAGTGTACCCGTCTAGTTGAAGGGCAGCAACATTTTGGTCACTGTCTTTGAAAAAACAGACATGGTTCATTCAAGTCTCAAGACTCTCAAATAAAGAAGACATGCACCATAAAACGAAGAGAACTTTTCATTGAGGGATTTATCTTTGATATTTTCTGCTTGGCATTATTAGTTGTTAGGAGAGGAGGATTGGTGGGGGTCAAATCCGTATCAATGTCCATAAGCATCATTACCTGCCGCCATTGCGGTAAAACGTCATTTGCCTACTACCTTAAGTTATGTTGCTGGTTCATTGTTAGATGTCAACTTTATCTTTTACTCATCATTTGACCCATCCTTCTGTTGAAGAATTGGATCTCATGTGACAAAATATCATATAGTTAATATATGAGAGTTTCTACTTTAATACCAAGGCCTTTTTTGATAGCACTAACATCTATTAAAAGTACATTAGAAAGTGTTTTTTTTGGAATGTGAGTATTTTTTAACCCAAAAGTTAGTCTTTTCTGCCAAACATTCTCAAAAACGTTTTTAATGATCTAATTCTAATATTCGTTATTCTATAAGAACTTCCATAAGGGCATGTAATCTCTTGATACTATTACACTTAAAAAAAGAGAACTTTAACGAAAAACTTCTAGTACTGTTAACCAAAAAACCACATTTTTACACTAAAAAGTTAATCATGATACTATTCACTTTACCATTTATTTTGTCTTTATCGTTAAAACTCAAAGTTTTTAAGCCCTTTTCATTAGTTTTCCTTAAAAAAAAAAAAAAAAAAAAAAAAAAAAAAAAAAACCGCTTCTAACTCAATACTACATAAAAAGACCATACTTTGCACGAAAACGTGACTAAAAAAAGTTCGCAACTACAAACCAATTAGAGCATAACAAATAGATAGATAATTAGAGTTCTCCAATTGAGATCCTTGAAGCTTTCTTTTCCCTGATTTACTAAAATAGTCCATGGTTTCTTACCCCAAAAATAAAAAGGTACTCTAAGGTTGGGAACTTGGGAGAGGCCTTAATTAAACAACGCCAAATTAAAATGCCTCTCCTCTCTTCAAACTGCTGAAACCAAGTAATGAATGGATCTGGCTCTCCTATGCCTTACTTGCAAATTTTGCTTCAGCCAGAGACCACCACCATTCACATTAAAATGCCTTCTCCAAAACAAAAAATTCAAATTCACCGGCAAACAAACGTACATGGTATAAATAGGAAAAGGCAATTCAACAGTCTGAAGTACTAGACAACCCCTCGGAATCCGACAGTATCATATACCTGAGAGCCCTTATGGGAAACCGTAGAGCCAGTCCTAGATATGAGATATTGTCAATGAGATCGAAAGGATACTAGAAAACAGAGGAGAAAGACGTTCATTTCTAATTAATAATACTAACACGATAACAATAACAAGAATGAAGCACCTAAGCAGGGGCTTGGGGCTGAAAGATTATAGCTTGAATTGCTATTGCGACTACAATACATCCTAAGGCTACAGCTACATATTGTACAATACATGAATGTTGAGACTCCCCTTGCAGATTAGCTCAAGCATGCCCCTATTTTTGCACTAGGCTACCTGTATTGACACAATAACTCAGTATCGATCGTTGAAAGAGTTCGAGCATAGCAAAGGGTTACAAATTTAAAATCAGATGAAAAAGAAAATAAATTGTTTGCTCAGTTAGACGTTCTGAAACAAGGGAACACATCTATGAGGTCCAAAGCATCACAAGCTCAAAAGGCTAAGAACCCAACAATAACAGCATAAAAGAACAAATGGTATATCACACCACATCAATTTTTTTGGTGATACAGGCAGGTGAAATTCACACCACATTTTTAAATGGTTGAAAACATACCTTTTTTTCTCTCTACTAAATGATCAGAGGCAAATGAGTCGGTTAACATACAAAGTCTCAATAATTTATTATTAGTGCTCTTTATTCGTCAATATTTATAAAGCTACTATGCACCATTGCAATATGAAGGTAAAAAGAACACTCAATTAGTAATTGTCAATGTAGTTTAATAAGTCATGCGAGAAGCCTACTCCAAATTTCAATATAATAAACCTAAATTATAATATCACAACAGTTTCACATACCTGATCAAAGAGAGCATGTTCGAGTTTCCATAACCAAGAAGAATAACCACCAAAAAAATATACATGCATAAGTGGATTACTCGGGAACAGGCTCCAATACCCCTTTAAACTCATCATAAATCCATCTGCAAATATAAAAATAAATAAATAAAATTATTAAAGAACAAGGTGAAAATATTAAGAAACAAATATCGGAATAAACAAATGGAATTATCCTACCACAAAATAGGATAAAAAACGGCTACTCATAGCAAGTCCACGTGTGCATACATACAGTGTGTGTGTGTGTGTGTGTGTTTTTTTTTGGGGGGGGGGGGAAGAGTATAGAATCTAGGCATTTGTGGAGATAACACAGTAACACACAGTAGGCAACGAATAAGTATCCCATATGATCTGTACACTTAAAGAATGAGCTCTTCCTTTAGAAGACACACACAGAGAAATTATTTCTTTCTGTGCTATGTAAGAACTAAAGAGCCTTACTTGCACAGGAAGAGTGGTTGTAATTCATTATTTGCCTCATGTCCTAACTGGCTCCGTCTTTCAGTTTCTACACTGAACTTAGCAGGAGAAAGAACTTCACAAGGACCACGAATCAAACCAGCCATTACATTGCTATCATGATTAGACTCATAGACCTGTAACACAAACAAAGAAAAAATATTAACTACCATATGGATGTTGTAATATTGTACTCTACATGTCAATACAAAATGGGAGTGAGAGGCCTTTAGATCACCAGAGTGTTAAATGGAATTGCACCATACATAGTACCATTATATAGATATATTATATTGGTGCATGTGTTCGCAATCATGTCCACCACGACAAAATCAGTAGTCCTATTCCACTAGTCAACTGATATGCCAACCACTGAATTTTAATGTTGATATGAACATCTTACAACAGAGAGAAATACATAGAACAGTACCTTTTTGGTCATCTCATAGAACAGTATACGTAAAGGAAAAAATGTTTACCTCATTGCTTTCAGGTGTAGATGGGCGACCAACGTTCTCTGGTAAGTCACCAGGAAAGTAGCACCTGTTGACAATAGCCCACTTTGACCCAGTTTTTCTATCCTCCCACATGGACTGCAATGAAATTACAAAGTTCATTACAACCCTTCTAATATAAAGAAAAAACTCGATATAATCATAAACAGATGAAAATGTTTCTAAAACAAACAATAAGTGATTCCACTAGACTTGGTGACCAAAAACAATGGACGACTCTATTCCAAAGATTAATTTCAGTAACATCATGTAATTCTCCAAAATGCTACTACTGACGTATCAAGGGATGCTTAATAATTCACTTACCTGAAGCTTCGAGGGTATCAATTTTCCATGACTAGACTGGAAAAGGGCATGATCTCGCAGTTGATAAGTTACCCCATCAATGCAACAAGTATGATAATATATTTTTTCATCACCACCTTGAACTGCATCGCCAATCCATTTAACAGCTTTCAAGCCATCTGAAAAAAAACCGAAATGCTCTAGAGACCTACCACTAACTACAGAAATTTCACAAGTATTTGCTTGTGCCACTTTGGTCATTTTGTTTGATGTCATATCTCAAAGAGGAGCCAGAGTTTCCTACAGAGTGAGAAGCATCTGGGTCTTCCAATGCAGAATTCTGGTCATGGAATATCATTGATGGAACTTCTGAAGAGTTGGGCAGCCCAGCACCGTCCACAACTTGTGTGTTGGAAGGGGGTTGGGAATGATTGGACTTATCAGTATCTTTGTTGGAAAATTCAGCAGAAGCTTCTGGTTTTGATTCAAAATGTATCTCTTCAACTCTAGATGATTCAGTAGTTTCTTTTGGTTCAACAGGACGCTCTGCTTTTGAATCAGAAGGTCTCTCTTCAACTCTAGATGATTCAGTAGTTTCTTTTGGTTCAGCAAGAGGATCTGTTTTTGATTCAGCAGGAAGCTCCACTTTTGATTCAGAAGGAGGTTCTGCTTTTGATCCAGGTATCTCTTCAACACTAAATGATCCAGTAGTTTCTTTTGGTTCAGCAGGAGGCTCCGCTTTTGATTCAGCAGGGCACTCCGCTTTTGATTCAGCAGCAGGTTCTGCTTTTGATTCAGAAGGTCTCTCTTCAACTCCAGATGATTCAGTAGTTTCTTTTGGTTCAAGAGGAGGCTCTACTTTTGATTCAGCAGGATGCTCCGCTTTTGATTCAGCAGGATGCTCCACTTTTGACTCAGCAGGAGATTCTGCAATTGATTCAGAATCTTCAACTCTAGATGATTCAGTAGTTTCTTTTGGTTCAGAAGGAGGGTCTGATTTTGATTCAGAACATTTCTCCTCAGATCTTTCACTTAACGGGTAACTTCCAGAAAGAGGTTTCTCATCCATATTTTTACTGCTTGATACGAGATTCTTCCGTTGAGATTCTTTTGCAGTTAAAATCCTTAGATCTGGTGCTGACTCAATGTGATTGCTGCCCCCACCACCTATACCAGCAGTATTCTGCAAAACAGAACTTCCATTTGCAGCTATCTTCGGCTGGTTGACCTTTGGATCTAAATTTTCCAGTTTATTCTCTGAGGACGTTTGAACTCCAGCTGTGTTAGAAGGGACTTTTACTTGTATATTACTTCTCATCACACGTCCATACTTCGGAGGCAAAGGCTTTCCATTGCTCAGTGACAGGCATCTCATGCAGTGCCACTCACCTCTAGGAATTCCTCTCTGGTTAGATGACTGTGCACACATTATGTGATATCCTCTCTCACACGCATCACAAATAAGAACATTATCCACCTCATTGATCGTAAGCTGGCAACTCTGGCAAGTCAAAGTCTTACTCATGTAATCCCTTGATGGAGGAATCCATGGAGGATGATCAGGAAGCTGTGGTTGTAATAATTTCTGAATAACTTTTGCAATTTCATTGTGATTATTAGAAAGCGAGGGAGTTTTAACGAAGTGCATCTGTTGCAAAGGCTGATGTACAACGGGTAGATTTCCAGAAGCTGATTGAGAGACAAATGGTTTAGTATTCTGATTCCGCGCAGCTACAGGAGTCATCTGTTGCATACTGATACCAGTACTTCCGTCAACTTTGACAGGTGTATAGTTTGGCACCTTGTGTTCTGGTCCACTTTTAGCAGATTGAGCTTGCACTGACCAAGCTGGAGCATTCACTGGTGGATGTGGATGATTTGCAAATGAAGTTGCTGCACATGGAAAATATGGTGTAAATACTTACATAGGCAGAGAGGAGATAGAATTAGTAGTAATGATGTAAAAAATTCCAAAAAAGATACCTTTCCGTACAAGTAAGGTTAAAGGACATCAATTACCTTGTACTTGAAATGCATAAGAAGACACATTTGCATTTGGTCCTCCATCTGATCTGAACTGTGCTCTTTCAACTTTAGGCACATTTGGGGAAGAAGAATCCCTTCCTAGATGACTGCTAGGAAAACCACTAGACACCATGGATGCTCTAACATCATTGTTGGGAAACTGATACTGTGTAGGTGCGGGAGTTGCCGTAGATGCATGAAAAAGAGATGGAGAAACAGGGAAACCTCCTGAGGAAATTGGTGCATGACTTGGTTTGCTTGTAGGAATCATATGAACGTTATGTGGCATCCCATGGGTTTCAGCCGCTGCATTTAAGCTTGTTTTTAATGGGAGAGATGGATGTGCAGCAGGTTGAGCTTGTGCAGAGAATTTCTTGGATTCTTCCATCTAGAAAAGAATTTCAAGTTCAGAAAAAAACATTGTACAGAGTCCAAAAAATCCTAAATTGGTTCGGCAGCCTTATATGCTGTAATATGGCATCAGCCACAATGTCAATAACTTCTTGGTCGAATGACTTTAAACTTCACAACTAGCTACTATTCCAAACACTAGCACACCCGCTTACAGAACTCTGATATTTTTTTGAATAAAAATGAAACCTTTCAGTATAACTGAGGACTATCACTATGCAGTTAAGTGCATATATACTCATGATGAAGGTAACCAACAAGCCCAACATATTCTTCCATCTAGAAAATGAATTTCAAATTCAGAAAAAATAGTTTTACACAGTCCAAAAAAATCCTAAATTGATAGTTTGGAACAATCATATGCTGTAATATGGCAGTATCCATAAAATGTCAAAGACAACTTCTTGGTCGAATGACTTTAAACTTCACAACTAGATACTAATCCAAACATTAGCACACCGCTTAGTATAACCGAGGACTATCACTATGCAGTTAACTGCATATAAACTCATGATGAAAGTAACCAACAAGCCCAACATGTTCACATCGACTAAGCCAAATAGCTCCACCGTGTCCAATTAAGAAATCATAACAAAAAATGCTTCCTCCCTTAATTTCTCAAAAACCATGCAAATATACCTTAAACGCATACAAAATCAAAACGCCAAACCATATGAACTATATTATTATCAGTCCATTAGGAACAATTTATAATTCAGAATTAAAAGTTTCTTTCTTTTTTTGTTCAACACTTTCCCACCAACCAAAAAACAACTCATACAAATCTAGACTAAACCCTACCCAACAATCTCCAAACTCAAAATCAAACCATATCCAATCAAACAATTGAGTCCTTACCTTCCTCTTCGTCTGCGAAAACTTCTCGGCAATCGTCAACTTGGGACCCCGGAACCCTAATCTCTGCTCCTTAAGCTTAGCATTAAGCCCCAAATCCTCAATCACAGCGCCAATTGCATCCCTGCCCACTATATCCTTAGGCGCCAAACCTTCACACAGCTCCACCAGCTTCGACCTAGCTTCCCCCATAAGCCCAATCTCCGGCTCCGTGGGCTTCTTCCCCCCTCGAATCTTGGCCATGGTTGACAAGGCCAGCACAATCTCCGCCACTCTCCTCAGATCCTTCTCCGAATTGGGTCCCAATCTGGGCTTCTTGTTCAACTGGGTCCCCAATTCTCCTTGTCCTCCATTCTCAATCGGCCTCTTTTCCCCAATTGAGACCTCCGGCGGGGGCGGCTGAGTGGGCTCGGCGTTCAGGGGTGGATCCATAATTAAGGCGCTGGGAGAGGGGAGCCCCTAGACGACGCCGTTTTAGGCGCAGAGGAAAGGGAGCTCAAAGAGAGACAGAAGGCGAGAGAGAAACCCTAGAGAGGCCAGAGGGACGGAAAGGCTTAGCCGTTGGGCGGGTTGGGGGATTTGAAAGGGCGAAAATTTTGTGAGGGAGAAACCGAGAAAGAATAAAGCTTTTTTGGCGGGTAAATTTGAGGGTTTTTTTTTGGGTGAGTGATTAAAATTTGATAATATGGTGAGTTTGCGAGCGAGTTAGAGAGAGAGATTTGGGTTTCAATTCAATGGGGGAACGAGTGAGTGAGTGGACGAGCAGAGAGAGATTTAGAGAGAGAAAGAGTAGAGAGAGAGAGACAGAGGGGGTTCTTTCGTCTTTTAGGCATGCATGCACCGTGGGCCTTGGATATATAAAGACTCGTTTGCTTAAGCGAAACCGGTTATAAATGGAAACGCGTTAGAGTTTTTGGGCTGTCCCATCTAGTTTTAGAGGTTTTTCTTTGTCGCACATCTATTCTAGAGTTACACTCATCGGGCCCTTTATCTAAAGAGATTTGAACTATTTATTTTGTAAGCCTCGATTCATGGATCATCTTTGTAAAAATTCAATTTAATTCAAAATCATTTACTTATTTAATTACCACAACGAAATTTCATTATTTCTTATAGAACAAAGTGTTTGTAAATTTCTTTGAACTCAATTGGATGTCTCAAATATTTTCGATTTGGATAATATTTTGCAAGGATGATCTATGAGGTCCAACTTAAAAAATAGACGGTTCGGATCGTTGAAGTTCGATGTGGTGTGAGTCTCACAACTAATCCTCACTTTAAAATAAATAAATAAATAAATAAAAATAAAAGGTGTAAAATTTGACTCTTCAAGAATTACGAAAGAACTCCTCCTTAAAATATCTTGTGACCTCCGGCTATGAAAGAATGCTCTTCGAGATAATTTTAAATATGGTTATGCACCCACACTCAACCTCCAATTTCCATTCATCTCCTTCTCAAGTGTTGACTCTCTTTAATAAGAATTGTCATATGCATTTTTTAGTACCAATATTCCTAGATTCCTTCTCTTGTTACTATTTGCATCAGAATTTTGATCATTCGTATCAGATTTCCCAAATTTGAATTTATATTCGCCATGTCTCTCACATGCAAATATTATTTGAGGTATCCTCACCTTCATCAAACCCTTCACGCATCAAACCTCTTGACAGCAATAATCATGTTATTCTTTTTTTTTTTTTTTTTGGGTGCGAGTCTGTTTGGACCTTAAGAAATTATTTTGGGTGTGAGTCTGTTTGGAGATTATATACTTCTGGATACTTCCTCTTAGTTTAACATAACTTCCAAATGAGAACTACAAGCATCGCATATGATAGTTAGGCATACCAATTCCTCGAACAAGCTTATGGAAGGTTGACTTCGGCAGTGATGTCGTGTAGAGGTCGGCAAGGTTCTTTGGGATCGGCTTGCATGACTTCAATATCCTGATGCTTTGCTGATGTAGATGTGGACACAATAGGTCTTTGGTGTTGACTTCGTTGATGTATCATGTCTTGGTTGAGTGGATACATGCGGCATAGTCTTCATGGATCGTCGTTGGGACTCAACGATGGATGAAAACACAACAAGTACTTTGAATATGCTCAACAAGAACTCCTAACCATGTTTCACTTGTAGCATAGTGAAGTAAGGTGAGTCTTGGAATGATTCGAAGATTTCGCAACTAAGGTCATATCGTGGACCTCCAAGATATTGTGACATCCCTAACGGTAAAGACATAACCATTTGGGGATTTTGCCTTGTGCAGGTTTGATAAGTAACCTGCGTCAGCATAACAAACAAGGCAAGTATCATTCCAAGGATCAGGGGGGTTGGATCCGCTCGAGATGCGTTGAGATTTTCCCTCGTAGTACCTTCAGGATACGTCTTTAATACCAATTCAGTGGTTGTGTGTAGGCGCGGTGTTACATTTTCCCAATAGATTAATAGCAAATGAGATGTTATGTCTAAATACAATAAGCTAAGTACAACAAAGCACAAAGTTAAACTTAGATATGGAATTTCGGATTCCATAACCTCTTCAAGGGTCTCATTTGCATATAACGTATGGACAATCATAGGTATACTCAAAGGTAACATATTCGGGGTGTAGTTTAACTGGTAGACGAAAATACTGTTAGAACAATGCTTGAACTTCAGGTCAAAGCATAAACAAGTTTTCCTAATATCCTTTATCTCAAATTCCATCTTTAGGTGCGAGCCAGTTTTCTCAAGCTCTTTCAGAATCTTAGTAAGATGTATGTTAACGACATAAACTGTAACTCTAGCAATTTGGAATAAGACTTTATAGTTTAACACGCAAGGGCATAATACATTCCTGATTGATCAAATAATCACTTGGACGGGTATACCACATCCGTCGAATTGTAAGTGAACACCTCAAACAAGTTAAGAGGGTGTTCCATGGTTTTGGAACTATTTGAACCCGTCTATGTCATTCTTCGAGAACTTACGTGTAAATGTTCGTATCTATATCCCCATGGAGAAAATACTAACCACATTTCATAATGTTGCTATCAATCATAGGACGTTTTGAGAGAAACCTTGCACCATAAGGCGTGCATCATATCGCACTATTTCATTCATCTCATAACGCTTCATTTCCCACTTGTAACATAATAAGGTTACCTTGGGCAGTGTAGGAACGATATGTCCAATACACACTTTGGTAAGGAATTTGACCTGGATTGTAATTTCAGTTGTCCAATTAGTTTTACGTTGTCACTTAATCAATGGAACACGGTTCAATATCGTTGCTTTTCATTTATGTCGGTAGCTACCATATAAGTGAAAACATCATCGATGGTAATTTCATTTCAATTCCATTTTCTCATCCAAACTAGTATACTAGACCAAGAACTTCAAGTCTCGGGAGTAATCCGGATTAATTTCATAAGATGAAAATGATTTGAGATAACGATCAAGTTTAGATTCATTGTTGTGCCATGTCTTCCTCTTCCAGGGAGGTGAATCTTACGAACCGAGTGACATGTCGTGCTCCAATCCAAGACACATTGATTGGCTATCCGTTAGTGCACCGGACTGTCCAACAGAGGTGGCACACCCTCCAGGGATGTTGACTCGACGTCCATTAAGTACGTCTATCCTTGCAGGCATGTTTGCAGCTGGTATATGATCTCGTCACTTTAGCTAGATCAGAGGAATGCGTCTGGAGCAACATTCTGAAAGCTAGAATTTATCGCACTTGTTTATCACACTTGTGCAGTATGGGGATCGAGATGAGACATAGTGGGCAACGTCCATGCAAATTCGCGTCGTTCTACAGGAATGTTGACGTTTTTATCTCCCCTTAACGGCGGGAAGATTGTCTCATTAATGTGACAACCCACAAATGAGCGGTAAAGAGATCGCATGCAAGGTCTTGAAGAGAGCTAGTGTGAAGGAGAATCATAATTGACAAAGATTCACATCCTTCTTTGAGGACCCAGGTTGGTATGTTGCGGCAGCGCAACTTGGCACATGGAATGCTCACCCAAATGCTTAAATACGAAAATCGTTAGGTTCATACCCAGTAACCAACTGTAATGTCAAATAGGTTAGGTGGCAATAGGCCTTAAGGCGGACCAAAATAAATGTGTACAAGATTGCATAGCCCTAGGCAAAAATTGAAAACTTTGTACATTTACCAAAATTCGGGCGATCATTTAAATTGCGCTTTATGATCACTAGATGAAGCTATTTGGGGTGAACATGCGAATTTGATGTTCAATTATAAACCCACAATACATGCAATACTTTATCGAAAACCATCGATGTAAACTCTCCGACATTATCCAGTTTCACAAACTTTAAGGGATAAGTAGGGTGGTGAACCCTTAATCGGCCAAGAGGTTTAGCAACAATGTGTGTGGACTATATGTGACCAGTTTGTCGATTCATCAACCAAAACCATAAGTATTTATATGGTCCGCATTTTGGTTGGATTAGTCCACATATATTCCCTTGAATCCATTGTGAAAAGAGGGTCGTTTCGTATCTTTGCAAGGGATGATATAAAAATCAATTTCTCCAATGAGCAGTCTTGGCAAAGTGTGCTTGTGGGCACAATATCCTTACTTCAGGTAAGGAGATGCATCGTAACATCATTGTTCGACCTAAGTGTCCTAAATGGTCGTGCTAAAACAAGTAAACTGCTCAATCACCAAGCTCCAGGTCGGGCGTATGTGGTGTGTTCCCATTTGGGAGACAACCCATTAGCCTCAAATCAAAGCTTCAAGCTCATTCTTGAAGCTGATGCAAAGATATTTCACTCTATTTTCTTGAGTGGTTTCATTTATAATCATTGTTCTCTCAAATATCCTTAAAAACTTAGTGACAGAGAGAATTTAAGGTCCCTTAAATGGTAATTCAGTACCATTCATACAATGAGGAGCATGCCAATGCTCTTAATCAGGTTGGATAGACCTGAAGTTGTGGTTAGAGATGTGATTTAGGTGTAAAGTTAGTGTGCGTAGTACGCATTCATCCAGACAACTAACTTTCTCACATTCCTACCTAAATCATGTGTTTAATCAAATCAGTCACATGTATTAAGAAACATGATTCAATTAACTCATATTTGAAGACAATATCAATAGGATTATTCATAAGTAAAACATACACCAAACTTGAATCCAAGAACATGGAAAAATGTTCATAAAGTAAATGGTTTACTAAGGGGATTTAGTCAACAGAGCCATCCATGTCAAAAATTTGCTCTTCCAACGATGTTTAGTGGAGCAAAATTAATCTCACATATTGACTACGAGAATGGTACTCCTTAACAAGATTGGTAGGGGCACGAACATGTGCATAACCAATAATCTATTCCATCGAGACGAAAGTAGATTATGCAAGGTTAAGGTTTGGGAATACTATCCCTTATTCTTGAAGTTTTAGGTCTTAGGTGCCAAGGATCACGCTTCGAGCATGATGCTACACCTTGGCAGGCCCTGATTCTACCATAGGGTGTAAAAACAAACTTGAAATTGGATTGTGAGAGAGTATGCCATTCGGTGTATCTCTACCGAAGCAATGCATCACCATTCGGTAGGTTTTGACCGAACTGGGTTGAACCATTCAGTAGACTCCAACCGAACTGAGTCTATATATTTCTCTCATGTTTGTGGTAGTAATCAGATCCTAAAATTTGGTAAACTTCCGCTTTCTACACTACTGCTTCAAGAATGAGTTAGAAACAAGAAATGATGAGAAAAGTATTCTCTAGTCGAAATTTGATCGGATTTATAAACTTCAGAATTGTACTCATTCATGGACGTAATCATGGTGTGCTTCAGG